TCATTTGCAGAATTAGTTTCCAGTTGTTTGTTGTTTTTATTATTGAGTTATGCTAGCTTTTTAATATGAACCCATTGATATTTACATACTTTCACCTGAAATAATTTGTACAGTGGTTGTTAATCATTGATTATCTGGTCTTTGAAAGTAAAATAGGCAATAGTTAAGGTTTCTGGACCTACTTCCTTTTTAAGTGTGATTTCTTTAACTCTTCCAGCATGTTCAATAGCTATTGATCTGCTTGGTTCTCATTTTTTCTGGAGTTAGTTCTTGAAATTTATACTTTGCCAGGAGAACCAACTGTTTCTTCTGTAGTTCCAAATTTATTGACCCAAAGTTTCTTATGTCATTCTCTGAAATTTTATTCAATTCCTTCTAATCTGCAGTTAAATCTACTTTATCAATCAACCCCTACATTATATTTTTATTTTTCCTCTTTTCCTTAATCCAGCTTTTCTGAATCCAGCAAATATGTTGTATTGGATTTTGAATGACTCAACGTTTCAATTTTCATTGTTCTTTATATTATTTTTCTTTTGGGATTTTGTTTTCTATGTAATTAATTTTGATTTTTTTTTATTAATACCTATTTACTTTCTCTTGGCTGGTTTTTTTTTTCTGAAACTATACACTTAATATTCTGGGGTTTTTTGTTCGTAATAAAAGCTTTTGAGGCTATAAATTCTCCTCTCAGATCTTATCCATAGGTTTTAATATCAAATGTCTTTTATTAATTTTTAAGATAATATGTTTTTAGTTTTGATTAAGTTTTTATTGAAGTATAGTCTGTTCACAATATTGTGTCAATTTCTGGTATACTAGATTACGTTTTATAGGGGATCATCTCTTGCTTGTAAAGTTTTAGACTTATTAGATTATGACCAGAAAATATAATTCATAAAAATCTCTACGTCTAGAACGTTATTAAACTTTTATTTATGGACAAGTCCAGAACAGTTTTTTTATAAATGTACCATGGATATACAACAAGAATATGTATTATCCAGTGGTTCTGAGTTTGATATATGGAATCAAGCTTTCTGATTTGCAGATTGTATTATCTGCAATTATCTCTTTTACCTTGGCTTATTTTTTTGTCTGTTTAATTTGTCATATTCCAAAAGAGGTGAATTAAAGTCCTTCCCCAACGTTATAGTTTAGAGGGTTCCTCTTAGGTTTTCAGGTGTTGTGGCTTCATACTTTTCCTGCTATATTCTTTGGTGCTCAAAGATTTATGTTCTTGCTTTCTGGCTGTTGGCATAAAGCTTACACAATACCCCTCTTTGTTACATTTAATACTCCCAGCCTTGAATTCCTGTTTATGATATTCACATTACTACTCCAGCTTCCTGTTACTTACATTTCCTATTATATCTTTGCTCATCCCTTCACTATCAATTTCATTTTCATTATGTTGCAAGTATGTTTCTCATGAAGCACTTTCAAATCTCATTGCTCACTATTGTTTCTTTCACTCGTCATTTTCCCTTACTAAGATTTTTGTTCTAATTTCATCCTCATTAGGTAGGAGTAGCTCCTTGAATAGTTTTCTCAGATTACATGAGTGTTTTTTCATTTGCTCTTTCATAAGAACAATATTTTAGTTGGGTTTAGGATTCTTGGATCATAATCCCTTTCCTTAAGAATCTGTAAACATTTTTTTCCATTGTCTTGTACCTTCCAGTGTTGCAGAAGAACAATCCAATGCTAACCTATCCTCTTGACCTTGTATGCAGCATATTCTTTTAAATTACAAGTTTATAAGAGGCCCTGTCTCTCCTTGGCTCATAAACTTCTCTAGAATATGTCCAGATATATGCCTTTTTATAATTAATCTTGCCTGGAATTCACTGAGCTCTTTCATTCTGAAGACGTGCCTCCTTTTTCTGTTCAGCTGTTTCCCTTTATTTTTCTCAGGGTGTCCTCTTTTATCCTGTTCTCTCTTCTGAAGTCTGATTATTTGCGAGCTAGGTCTTCTAACGAGCTCCCAGATGATGCTGATGTTGCTGGTCCAAGGATCACACTGAGGAGTTAGCTAGAGGATGCAGGATTTAGCTGTGTCTGGGCTCACCTGAGGGCTGCAAGTGTTGGTGGAGTGACAGGTGTTAAGGACAAACTGAGGTCTAGGCAGGACACACTTTGCCCTTCTGGGTGGTGAAGAAAGTCCCACAGTTCCCCAGAAACAGCTACAGTGCTGACCTCTGTACATCTCTTCTCATCCTTCTGAGCTTGGGCACTGCTCTCTGGAAAGGACCCAGTGCCAGGGCAACTTGGATGCTTTGCCCCAAACACTTCTGATTTCCTTCAGATGCTTGGGTATTGGCCTAATAGCTCCAACCTGCTTCTTAAAGGGTGTAATAGATGTGATCCACGTGTCAGCCCTCCTCACCCAGAGAAGTGAACCCGGAACCACAGGTCAGTGGTTCACCACCAGTCAGGCCATTTGCATCCTCTCTGGGAACAATGATCTTATCTGAGGTTCCCTTTGTGTAGGGAGAGCAAATCTGGTGAGCATTACTGGTGTGGGAACATGCGAGAGCCAGTGGAACCAACCAGAGGAGCTCATTCAAGCCAGGGCTCACTTCTTCTCGATGGCCTACTGTGTGCCAGGCACCATCCTAGGTGCTGAACAAAAAGACTATTGAAAAACAGTTCCTACTTTCAAAACTGTGGTCTCACTTTCACACTCTGATCTGATCCCAGTCACAGGATGAGGTAGTTCTTACTCTTACCACCATTTAACAGATGAGAAAACTGAGTCACAGAGAATAAATGTCTTACTGAATATCTCTTGCTGGGGTCACTAAAGGCAAAACCAGGACATGAGCACATGAGCACAGCTCCACTGACCGGGCAGTGTATACATCTTGCTATCCACTTGAACCCGAAATCCAAATTAGTCTGTCCTGCCAGTACCCCTTTCTAGGAGCTCGGATAAGCTTCTTTGGTGCTTCCGACATGTTTCACTGTAATAGCATCCCTGTTGGCTCCTGTACCTCTTATTGCAGCTGGGACTCAGATCCACAGCTGTGCTGGAACCAGCTCCAGGGCACTGGTTCATCAAAGACTATGAGAACATCTTCTTTGTTTTGTCGCCACTGACATCTCTGTCTTGGTCTCCATCTCTGTTTTCAAAGTGTGTCCCCGCCTGGATGCAACAGCCCCACATCTGGGACATCCAGCTGTGGGCAAGGCCTGGTGGATAGCTCCCTGTCACCGCCGAGCAGATGATTGATCGCATTCACCCAGCTTTATTCTGAGCCCACCTGTCAGAGACTTGCCTGTGACTTACTGAAGCTGTAAGCCCTATTGCTTATCCAGTGCAGGGGAGACCAATGAACAAACTCCAAAAAGCTGGCTTTGTTATGAATTTTCCTCATTTGGCGATGTCCCCAGGTGAACCATTAAGAGTTG